TCCCTCTTGCTTCTATTAATTTCCTCTTCCTGGCTGCTTGGAAATGCTTCATAACCTGATGCTGCAGATGGGGACGAGAGGCGCTTTCCATTATCTCAATCACTGCACTGTTTATGAGACACTTAATCTGTTTCTTTATAAAGTAATAGTACTGCAGATGATGGATTCAGTGTCACTGGAAGTCTTCATGCAGGGACAGGAGGGGAGGGGAGTTCTCAAGAGCATTGTAAGCAGGTAATTTGTTACATCTTTGAGGCTCTGAGAAGTTGGGTGGGTGTTTCAAGGTGACCTTCTGGATGCCAGCTAGAGGGGACGTGTGCCTGTCTCTTGTTGCTTGAAGGGAGAGAAAAATGTGTGTTTTGCATGGCAGATGAAAAGCACATTCATGCTTAGTGATGGGGTACACGGATCTTGTTTCTTCCCTCTGCTGAAGTTGGGAGACATAAAGGAGGTACAAGGCTATGCTGCCCAGGAACCTTGGCTCTGCCTGCTCAGCCTAGGTCTTCTGTCTAAACTATGACCACTTACAACAAAGCAAAAGAAACAAAGAGGTTGTGGGCTGCTCTATGTCCAAAATGCACAGTGTCCCTATGAGAGTCCTATTGCAAAGTCTCTCCTGACTCTATAGCTATGTGCATAGGATGCTTCTTTTATCTGCTTCTTGGAGTAGCGATGAAACTCACCCTGGTGAAGCCTCAGTGTGGGCCCTTTCTAATCTAACTTTCCTTCCTATTTCTCTGGCTTTTCCATCTCTCTGTTTCCTGCTTTATCTTTCTCTTTCCTTCTGAATTTCACCTCCTAGTCACTCACCTCCTAGTTTATGACTATCATTGTTGAAGGTTGCATCTGCAAATGGTGCACACCCTGGTTGCCTGGGCTCCTGGGCACACACAGAGCAGCACAGGTCAAGCAGAACCAGAAGCAGTTTTCTGCCTGCCTTCTTCACCAGAAAAACTCCTGAAAGCCTCCTGCCCCATCTGTACCTTGCTCCAGTCTTCTAGCCTGATGCCTGCTATTGATAGAGTCCAATAGCCACCTGCTGAATAAGCAGCTCAAAGCTGTAGTAGTACTAGCCACCATCATTCTTGATCAAGAGAAATGCAGCCCCTGAGCTTTGAAATATTTCCGAGCTTCGAAATATTAAAGCAAAATGCTGTTATTGTCTCAAAAGCTGAGATTGGTTGGGCTATCACAATATTTAATTGTTATTTTTGGAAACTATAGTTTTCCAACAGGTGTCAGCCCTCAGGTTGTGGAGTCCCCTCCCTTCCCTACTGTGTCACTCCGAGTTGCTTTACATACTCAGTTCAGTTACGTGGTCTTGAAGGCCGTTTGCGTTTGCTCTCTTGGCCTATATATTGTCTGCTGAAATGGATCCAAATGCATCGTTTATCACTTCTAATTAAAGCTACTTTTTTGTCGGAGGGTTGCATAGTTTTCTTATTTTTCTTAGTAAAATAACAACATCATTAACTTCCATTAGTGGCATCTGAAACAAATTGAGTTAAAAAGGATTTGTGGGCTAGTGTGCCATTTTAACTGTTATTTAAGGAATAAATTTTGTGTGAAAAGATAGTGTAAGTGTGATTGCAAGTTACAATCTCAAAGTTTAATAAATGAACTTAGGAAAACTGCTTCTTCATAAATTAGGAAATTTCTAGATACAGATTTTATTAAGATACTAACATGTGAAATTTGAACATTAAGACTCATTTATTTAGCAACCATAAGTAAAATATATTTTACAAATATAAGGATTCAACCATTGTTCAAACAGAAATAATCTGCAGAAACATATTTTCCCATTTCTAGGATTTATGTGCTCACTTTGGCAATCCAAACTTATATTCTGACTCTGACTTCTAAAATTCTGTGCAAAGATAGCTTAATTTTTCAAAAGGAAGGTTGGGATGGAGAGGTGTTATATGCACACTGGGGACAGCTGTGCTTCATACCAGAGTTTATTTAGCTCTAAAGACCCGTAGAAGTTTTGAGAAGTATAAATCTTTTACACAGGTGATCAAACTGAGGCTCAGAGGAATTCCATACTGTTCACCCTAAGTATATACAGAATAGATAGGATAGATGTACTGCTGCTTTCTCTTAGCTCAGTGAGAGGAAGGATCTGTAGTTCTAGTGTTTGGATGGGATGTCCTGGCTGCTTCTTGTACTGTGGATGACCGCTGAGAAGATAACAATGTGCAATGTATTAATTATTGAAAATGTCCTATTAATCAGCTTGGAAAGTGTCTCACTGATATTTGTTTCTCAATAAAATGAATTAAAAAAAAAAAAGAATAACAGAATCAGGAAGCCAGCTCAACACTGTGTGGCTGCTACTTCCCAGTGCTTACTTTTCAGGGGCGATTGGACTGAGACTCTGTTCTATAACATCTCCCCTCTCTGGGAGTGTTTCTCCCAAAAGGCCCACCCTCCATATTATCCCAGAATTCAGAGCTGCTTTTATCCATAGAAATATCAGGAATCCACTTTCCAAATCTCTCTGCCACTTGTGGATATCAGGGCGATTGTTTATGCTGTTAACTTATTAAATGTAAAGTGAGGTGGCTTTTAAATGTTGGAAAGAATGTGAAAACATTTTTTCTTGATCTGATACATTAAGAAAATTACAGTGTGGCAGAGACCAAATATGAATGCATGAGTAGTTATCATGTCTCCTCGCCTGCTGCATCTGGACAGCACAGACCCAGTTCCTCTGTGTCTTCTGCACCAGAGCCAGTGGCTTTGGGAACAACAGGTACTAATGTTGCCAGCGATCATGTGCTCAAACAGGAGATGGAGATGAGTTGTGGGTGGCAGAAAGGAGAAGAGGGGGGAAACAGAGGGAGAAGATGTGGAGTAGACTTGGAGACACGAGCAAGTGAACCAAATAGTAGAGTACTTTGTGTATGTTATTCATTGTTTCTAAATTTAGTATTTTTGTTTATTGATTCTTTAGTAAATATTCCAAATCATTTTTCCACATGAATTTTCCTTTGAATGTGCTTAGAAGGGTCATCAGGTGGTTTATTTTTACATGCTGCACAACAGCAACTGTTACTTCTCAAAGGTAACAGTACTTAATCCAGTGTGTTCCGTGGTCTGTGAGCCCCAGGAGATGCTCCTTCAATTAGGTCGTGAATGTTCTTCATCTCAGTTGTACTCTAGTACCCATTTTCCAAGCACCACAGAATTTCCCAATAAAAATAATGGAAATGGCTTTATTGTCCACATTTTAAAAATATTTCAGCACAGAATTGTTTTGTAAGTGATAGGCGTTTAGGCTTCAAAGAACTTGTGTCCCATGGAAAACAATTGGGTTGTGCTATTCCAGAACATTCCCTTTCACTGAGGTTGCCTTCCATCCACAGTACAGTGCATATCAGGAGTAACTGAATTCACTTCCTCACTTTAAGTGAGCAGTGGAATGAGAAAACTTCTGTGGCATAGGAAGCTGTTCTTCCTTCTTGTCTTGGCAGAAAACTGGTGGATGCTTTTCCAATAGCTTATATGCATATCATCACTATCATTTCTCCCACTGTGCTATCCTGGGCAACTTTTTAACCTCTCAGTGTCCCAATTTCCTCGTTAGCAATGGAGATAATAATAGCTACCCCATAGAGTAATGTATGTATAGCATTTAATGAGACAAGTTAGCAGATGGTGGCTACTGCCATTATTAAAGAATACTCTGTACTCTCCAGGAAGGAACAGCATATTTAGGAAGAGAAGGTGTGAAAGTATAAGCCATTGTAGTGACACTTCTATGATGATCACATTGTATTCTAATACTATCACACTGCATTATAATGATACGACTGCCCTGGATCAAGAGCTCCTTGAAGGCAGGCTATGTTCCTCGGGTCAGGTTCTCAGTATGCACACAGTACATATTTGCTGAACAAACTAGTGTGGTGTGTAGGAGAATTATGCAAGTTGTCCAGGCAGTGAGTTTTACTCATTTCAAAGGAGGATGAGCCAGAGCAGGTTTCACAAGGACAAGAAGAGTCAGGAGCTGAGTTGGAGAGGAAGAATTTTACAGATGTAGGGCAAGCAGGATCACCCTTTTGAGGCATGGCAGGAAGGAGACCAGATGTCTGGACTTGAGTGTCTTGGTAGAGGAGACATGCTCAAGGCCCCAAGGATAAGCTGGAGGCAGATGTGACCTGGTGTGACTTTTATAGGCTGACTCCACAACAAATCAAGAAGAGGGGGTCCATGTATGAAAGCACTTCCAGTGGCATCAAGTTGTACCATGTCTTCCCAGCTTTCCCCAAAGCCATATATGTGACAGAAGATAACAAGTGTGTGACACATTCCCTCATGAATTGCCTGCAAAGCCATTCCTATTTTTCTCTATTCCTGAATGCACATCAAAGTGCAATTAAGGAAGAATGATGTTCTAAAGGCACTAACCTTGAAATCACCTTAATTTCTTCTTGAAGCATCACTCATGAATTTCAGTCTTTTGCCATCATTCATAACAATGAATGTTAATGCATCTCTCAGTATCTCTCTTGTGTGTTGCAGCATGGCATTTAGGAACCATGGATCTGGTCCATTGTCAACCAGAACCTTTTCCAGCTGAGAATATAAGACTAGATTCCTTCCCTGAATGGCTTATAGTAAGGATCTGGCTTTAAACCAGGCACAAGGGTGGGGCAACAACCATTTACAGAACATTTTTGCCTAAGATCCTGAGCTACACATTGCATTCATTTCTTCATTAAATTTTTTGACACATCTTAAAAGGAAGAATACTTTTTCATATTGTTCACAAGAGAAGGCCACTGTTACCAAGAAGGTATATTTCACTAAGGAAGTTGAGAAAGTGGAAGTATTAAAGAGTTTCTATCTGAGAGGCCCACTCAGGGCATTTGTACAAGGGAGCATCTCAGTGTCTGGTTGAGGAGGGCAAACAGTTTCATTTTCCAGTTCCAGGCAAAGACCTCTGGCTGCCACCCTTCCATTGATTCTCACATAATCTTTTTGTGTTCCAGCTTGCCCTGCAGGGACATTCAAGGCCAGCCAGGAGGCTGAGGGCTGTTCCCATTGCCCCTCCAACAGCCGCTCTCCTTCAGAGGCATCTCCTATCTGCACCTGCCGAACTGGCTATTACCGAGCGGATTTTGACCCTCCGGAAGTGGCGTGTACTAGTAAGTCTCTACTTAAGGCTCTGGGATGGAGGGAGTGGGGAATTGGTTCCCTGGCAGTGCAAGTTGTAACACTGGCACAGAGTGAGAAAAACATCATCCTTCTGCTGCAGGGCAAAACAGAAAGGCTGATGGTGGTTCTGAAATGGACAGCTCCCGGGCTACAGGGTACTGAGCTCCCTTCTCTGTTCAGTAGAGCAAAGCCAAGATTACTTTCTCCCCACCTCTTCCTTCCAAACAAGAGATTTTTTTCACCTCACCAAGACAATTTCTGTCCATCATACAGTAAAAATGCGAGGCTGTGAAGTTCCTTCAGTGCAAAGGAAAGAGATCCATTAGATATTAGAACTCTCGTCGTCATCGCCTCTTAAAAGCCCCTCCTGGTCCATACAGCTGAAAATAGCTCTTTTTACTGGGCTTCCTATATGTCTGCCACTTGTTTCCCTTGGACTCTTCATACTTTTATTAATTGCCTAGTTATTCTATAATTATCTTAGCTACCAAATGAATGTCCTTGCATGCCAGCATATTCAACTCCCTGTGTCTTCTCCAGTGCACAGCAAGGTGCAGTACAACCTGACTGCATAGAGCATCTCAGAGGCACAAATTCTAATGCTTCTGCATCAGCTACATTTATCCTCCCATTATTTTCTTCAGAGAGAAAGACTGTCATGTCATCGTGAGGTTGGGGGTCACTTCTAATTTTTGGGTAGGAGGAATAGAGAACTTTTCCTCTTTCACTAAGGGTTTTACCCTGAAGAGGAGCTGATATCTCCTTTCTGTATTCCCATTGCATTCTGGGATCAATATACCAGGTTAGTCTCTAATTATACTGGAATTTTATTTTGTATTGGATGCACCAACCTGGCTCCCTGAGAGTTGAAATCTTGCCTTACATTGGCTTGGACCGAATTGCTCCTTCCTATTCCCAGTGCAGAAGGCCACAGGGAGACATTTCACCTGCACTTGCAGTTTGATGGACAGAAAAGATAACTGGACTCTGAGTGGGGGAATTTCTTAATTCTGGCCTTGTAGCATATGTAACCTTCCCTGGGTACAGGGGAGGAATGAAAGTGCCTTCTAGATCAAGGCCCTGAGCTTGATCAATGCTTATAGATTTGAACTAAGGAAAAGCTCATCCTCTTGTAAACTGATTTTCCCTAGACTTCCTCTGGTAGAGGGAGACTTATAGAAATCATTCCATTTCTGCAGAACAGAGTCTCAGTCTTTCTGTGATGGTGTCTCCTCCACTGATTTCTGGCTGCCTCCCTCCCCTAAGGGACACTTCCGTGAGCCTGAGAAGTGTTGTTTAATGTACTGCTTCAGAGGCCCCCTAAGGATGCAAAATTACTGCTGCCAGGGTGCTTAGATGAAGGACAGGTCTCTTTGAAGGCCAACACACATGCCCAGGCTGTCATCGCTTCCCTTGCCAAAACATTCTCCTCCTATCTCTGCTCATGAACCTGTTTCATTAGTCTGTTTCCCTGTCCAAATTAATTCGTGCAAATAGAAGCTGAGGTTCCCCCAACTTCAGCAACCAGGCCCTGCAGATTCAGTTAGGATGAGGCAACCAGAAGGAAGACAGGACCATGAGCAAATACTCTGAATGTGGAAGTGGAGCTGTCCAGATGTGCCTGAGCGAACAGGACTAGTTCCTACAAAAAAAATAACATCCCAGAGACCCTCACTCCACTCCCTGCCTATTGCCTGAGTGCACCATCCTTGACTCATACCCCACAGGCTTACCTCTCCTATCTGTTTCAGTCAGTTCTGGGGTTAGATACACCTCCCATGCCCTGCTTTGAGCTCTCCTATTCTCCCCAGCTTGTCCAGAGTGGGGTGGAGCTGCCTTGTGCCTTATATTTCCAGACATGCAGCGCTCCGTTCACACTAAGTATCACTAAATCAAAGCTACATGTGGTTGCGGTGGTCAAACCTGGCAGCCATTCTTGAATGTAACATTCAACTTCCCACCTCGATCTACAAATGCAAGTGTTTGGTGAGGGGATCCAGAGGGCAAGGCTGGGCTGCAACACGGTGCTAGACAAAATAAGTGTAAGTAAAGCTATTATTTTATTGAGCCTCATTATATATTTGATTTATTGTGTGCCAGGGAAGTACTGTATGAAAAAGTCAATTTGTTGCCTTTTATATTCTCATTAGGGTTTCCTTTTAAAGCATTCTAATTGGAGGTACCATCTGTTCTCTTAAAAAAGGCATCACACATCACCACAGCAAATAATTTTTCAGATACAAGGAGCATCTCTGGAGCTGTTGAGGCAAGGATAGGCTTGCACTGTGGCCTTGGGGCTCCCAGCTGGCCCAGTGGATTGCGCAGGGCAGCTGTGCAGGGACCAAGCTCAGCCTGAGAAAGGCTGTTTGGGGCCTGGGGCTCATGCAGATCTTTCACTTTATGAATCAAATCTTCTATCTGCCCCATTGTGAAATAGTTATAGCCAGACAGGGTTCTGGGGATTCCTGGGTGAAGGCAGGACAGCTCACTTTTCCTAAGTGTACAAGACAGCAGATATCTACAGAGTCATGGACCTATGCTTCTGACCAACTGGCTATAAGTCAAGATTCTCATCATCCATCCCCCCCCCATTTACCTAATGTGTTTGAATAGCTCACAGGAATCAGGGAAACACTTTTTGTTAGTTTATTCTAAAGGACATTATAGAAAATACAGAAGAAATGATAGATAAGGCAAGAAAGGGAAAAGTCTCAGGGGTTCCACACTCTCTCAGACACATCACTCCTAGGAACCCCTGGGGTTCAGCTGTCCTGAAAGTCTCTGAACCCCGTGCCTATGGATTTTTATGGAGACTTGAGTACATATGTGTGATTGTTTACATCTTTAACCATTGACAATCAACTCAACCTTGAGCTCCTTGGGCCTGAATGTCCCAACTGTCCTGATCACACCTTGGTGACCACCCACCTACATGAGGGCTTGCCAGCCATTAGCATTTCAAAAGATATAACTTTGAGGATTCCAAGGATTTTAGAATTGTATGTCAGGGAATGATGTACAACAATATGCATGGATATACACTGATTCTTTGGTTCAAGAATTTAATTTGTCCCACAATTCTGGAAAAGATGGCCATGTTCGTGGTTCATGCAGGAAACACGACCATGGTTATGTCCATCACCAGATGCAGAGCTTGCAAGCAAACAAAAGTTTGCCAAACCCTTCTGTTTGTGAGCCAAGTTGTTCACAAACAAACATGTTCCTGAACTAACTGAGGTTCCATTCATCTGTCACAATGTCAGCGTCCTCCTGCTGCCTCCTTCAGGCACTGCCCAGAGGTCCTGCTATCCAACAACATCCTGGCTACCCTAAATTTCCCTGAGGTTGAGAGGATCCCGGGAAAAAACTTCATTTATTACACGCAGAGATTGGAAGAAGGGTATCTTATAGATAAACACTTGACTCTTGACTCTGTCTCTTCCCTTTTACATGACCTTGGCTTCCCACTTTCTGTGGCTTCACCCTCACAACCTTACAGTAATGTATGCTTTTCTAACTTGGTGTGAGGATTAAGCAAAATCTTATCTTTGGCACAGAGCCTGGTTCATCGTAAATATTCAACTGATGCTAAAATTTGCTTTGGTTATATCCCTGGAAAGTGTGATGATGACAACACCTCTGGATGCTTCCAGCAGGAGAGGACATCAGGGATCTGAAAGTAGCAATGAGTTGGCCCTGCCTCAGCATCGCAGCAGAATGCCATTGTGTTGTCTCAAACCACACAGTTACCTAGGCCTGAAGATCCTAGTGGCAACAAATGAGAGGGGGTGCTGTGTGTCCAGGGGAGAAAAAGGAAGGCACAGCCAAGAGTGAGAACCCCAGGAGCTGAGAAGTGGGAAGGAGTGATGGTCGACAGGAATGCCCTTCAGTTCTCAGGGTCCCGCAGTTCAGTGACTCCCTGGAGTGAGACACACATGGCCTTTGTGCACAGGAGGGTCAGATGGCAATGGGAGCATGACAGGGTCACACAGACAGAGGGACAGGAGGGAGGCATGTGGAAATGCCCAGCAATGGGAAACCAAGCACCGTGACGCATGGCTTCAGTTTTAAATAATTTCTAGTTTACTGGGGAAAAGGAGGAATTTATGAAGCAGGTGAAAATAGATAATTATGCTTTATAAAATTGCTGTCTGTGAAAAACTGTGCTGAAGGACTGGTGTGAAAATAATTACCTTGTTACATTTCTGACCACCAAAACCCTTTTTCTGTCACCCACATGGGAGAAATTGTGATGGATCTCAGAGGCAAGCTAGTGCTTGTCTTGTTGCTTTTATTTCTTCTTCAGATTCTGTGGCAGTCCCTCTGCTGCTTTGATTACAGAAACAGAGTGAAGCAAGGACTCCAAGGTCATTGTGTCACCTGAGCTCCCACAGTGGGCCCTCGAAATAGAAAGCACAGTCCTGGCCAGCCCTCTGGGACCCCTGTAACCCATCTTCAACTTCCTTCCTGACTCACACAGAGGCAGGGAAACTAAGAAGCAAGAGCAGGGGCTCTGAGTTTGGCTCCTGATGATGTGATTTAGGGCAAGTTATTTGGCCCTTCTGAACATGTTTTCTTATTAGCAAAATGAGATATGGACATGATGGAACTCAATTTAGGAGGCTGTCAGAACTAAGTGACCGAAAGCAGTGAAGCCCCAGGACAACAGTCAAATCTATCTGAGTTAGACACTGCAATCTCCGTGAAAGTTACAATTTGGGAGATTTTAGAACCATCTGGATGTTGCCGGTGATTGGCTGTTATTCTCTTGAATCTATCTCCCAGTAGGAGAGGGTAGAAATCCTTGCTTCCCTATCCCATCTCTGAATGCTATGGATTGTCTCCTCGAGGTTTATATTTCATCTTTAAGAAGCTGGCAGATGTTCCTTTCATCCCTATCACATAGGGCACCAGGGGAGTCCCAGGGCACATGGATCACACTCCTTAGACTGCCCAGGAGTGTAATGTTTCCTGTGCCTCAGCGTGGGTC